AAGTGGGTAGGAGACATATGCCTGGAGGCAGAAGACAAATCTCAAAAACTCTGTGCACACTTTACGAAGAGGGACTTCTTGGCCATTCCCTTCAGAAGCTATGAATCCCAGGCAACGCGCTGGCTGGCACTCGGGGCCATCACTACACCGCGCCTCACTGAAGCGCAGCGCCTGGAGACTGCTAAAGGGACAGGGCCCCCTCTACCCTACCAGCGTTTCTCAGCAGGTCTTTTCCAGGGACACGTTCGGGGGGCTACAAGTGCTGGGGATCTTTCTTTTCACTTAGTAACAACATGAAAAAATGTATTTTACCACTGCTATAGAGAAGAATCAGGGTCAGTGACACTGAAGAAAACTGTTTCAGGAAGTAAGGCTGACGATTCTCTGAGCCAGCTCGCTCTGTCTCTGGGTCTGTCTCTCCTTCCTCCCGTTTTTTTGAGACAGGATCTCTCTATGCAGCCAAAGCTGGCCCCAAATACAAAGTGATCCTCCTGCTTCAGCCTCTCAAGTGCTCGAATTACAGGCACTTGCCATCCCATCTGGCTGTATTCTTTCTTTAAAAGGGACCCAAATCTAGGCATTTGAAACTCAAGAGGCTAAAAGCATGAGCTTGCTGAAAGCTGGTTCTGGTACCAAGCAAGAATTTGGTACCGAGGCAAGGAATGTGCGCTCTAGTCTAGGGCCACGGAGAAAAGGGAAGTCAGATAACCACGTGAGGGCTGGATATTCAGCTCAGCAGCACAGCGCCTGCCTGGCAAATGCAAGCTCTGGGTTTGGTTTCTTGTTCCCGGAGGAAAACCAAAAAAACCCAGATAACCACGTGAAGGGTTGCTTCCTACCTCTGGCATATTCACCGTCTTACCATGCAGACTAAAGGTAAAGATGTCCAGTGACGATGTCTCCAGGCAACCTGTTTTCTAGTCACTTCTGGACAGTCTGGGTCCACACATGTAGGGAAATTACAAGAGTGCGGTTATTCCATCTCATGGTACGGAGAAGTTTTATAAGAAAAACTGCAAAAAGGAACAGATTTGGGGGAGAGGAAGACATTTGGTGGACTAAACCAACACATAGTACCCAGATGAAACTGGTCCCATTCGGGAACAGAATGAAGTTGGCTAAGTGACAAGGCGTGAAATAGTTTGACAGTGGACTTCTGCTAAGCCGGCTACTGAGTTTCAATTTAAAAAAAAAAAAATGATATTAATTAGAGGGATCCATGCATTCTTCAAGTTTGAGAAACACTGTTCAATACTACAAAGCCTCACAGTGCTGGGTTTGAGTAACTGAATTAATATTCTCAGTTCTGTATCTTTGACTTCACTCGTACTACTGTAGACACTGTATTTGTACGAGTTTATGATCTCTCATCTGGAATTCCAGGGCTAGATATATTTCAAACTTGAAAATCATTAGGCATATTGGTATACACCTATAATCCCAGCACTGGGGAGGCTGAGGCAAGAAGATTGCTTTGAATTTGAGGCCAGGGTGGGACATATAGTGAATTCAAGTCCAGTCTGAACTGCACAGGAGAGACTCTGTCTCAAAAAAAAAAAAAAAACTTTTTGATTTTAAGAAATAACATGTATGTGATGTTACATCCCACAGAGGTCTCTGGCAACATACCATACTGAGCATATTAATTTTTCTGTATTCCTATAGAAATGTATATTCACAGTAAGAGAGGGGGTAAAGATCTTCAATTAGCCTTTTATCAGCTTAGAGCATGTTCTTCCACTTAAAAGGTTAAGAAAAATTTTGGTTTTTTGGATCATTTTCAGTTTCTAGATCGGAGATGAACTTAAAGATTATCTGCTACAGACTGAAAAACCAAATAAACTTCAATAGGATTTGATGATCTCAATAAAGGTAAAGACCTCACCTTAACATGTATGAATATATAAATGTTACGATTTTTCCCTCCAACTATTCAGGAGTCCCTTTGTGTCTATAGATGGCTTAGTAGAGGATGCTAAAATGTCAAAAGTACTGAAATGCTTACAGGAACTTCAATACGTTCCTAAGGTATGGTACTAGCTGCACTCAACTATGACTTCAGTATTTCTGTATCTACCAGTGTGGGTAAAAGGCAGGGAAACAAGCCTGAGAGATACACTCACTCAGAAGAACCTGTCCTGGCTCTTTTCTAAGAAGCTCTAAGGAGAGGTCTCCTCCTTCTCACGTACTGCTACTCATGGCTGTTTCCACAGTGGTCAGACTCCAGGGTAAACAGTACGCAGCCGTGAGGTGGAGGTACTGCACAGAGACCTGAAGCAGCTGGACACCTGACGCTAAAACCGTGAAGCACAAACAAGCCTATCAACAGAACATCACGAAAGTAAAATCTAAGCCATGAAAACTGATATTAAGCACATCTGGAGACAGTGAGACAGCGGTGAGGAGCCCGAGCCGGGCAGATACTGCCTGGGCTCAAACCCACGTTCTGCCAGTTGCCTCAACTTAGGACGGGCACAGTACCACACCTGCTTTCACGGAGTGAGAGCGCAGAGCGTTCGGAAAGAGGGACCGAGTACACTCGCAGTGAGCACTTGCTGCAGAGATAGCAATGATGGGCATTATTGTTACTAACCCTTGAATTATTAGCCTTCTTTATATGCTGTAGATTTATGTTACGTTCTTCAAGTAACAAAAATCAGGTATAAAATCAGTAACAAAACCTTCTGGAGTTTTGAGAAAAAATTTCTCCTTCACGACCAGTGCTGCCTACTGACCAGGCAGCCAGAGTTGGGACGTGCCAGCGAGCCCTGCAGCAGAGGTCTCACCGTTTCTGCATGAGGCCGTGTTCACTTCCTTGTCCTATTTGTTCCATGAACTCTGTATCTTTGCCAATTACGCTACATGACAAAACGCCTTCCAATGTCTGTAGTCTAAATAATCTAAAAGAGCTTAAACATTAGAACTTTTAAGGTGAGCATGGTGGTGCACACCTGTAATCCCAGCACTCAGGAGGCTGGGGCAGAAAGATCACCAAGAATTCGAGGTCAGCCTGGGTTGCATAGTAAGTTCAAGGCCAGCCGGAACTGAACTACACCGCAAGACCCTGTCTCAAAAATACTTTTAGTATTTTGTTACTAACGGCCCCAAAAGCCTACATTCCTCTTTGAATAGCGGTGCTGTTGCCAAATTCTCATACACAGAAAATAAAAACGTTGAGTTTTCACTATTAATGCCATTTTCAGTAAGAGACAGCCCCCCCAACTGGTACTGTCAAAACAAGAATAAATAAATAAACATTCTTTCATGGCTAACTAATTTAGAATCTACTGTCCTACTTCAAAATTCTTATCAAGGTAAAACATTAAATAATTTCTGATCTACTTTGGAGATATTACTTACCTAACAGTGAATTTCAGCAATTTTTGGGGGGGGGGGTGTTTTTGAGACAAGGTTTCACTATATAGTTCAGGCTGGACTTGAACTCATTCTGTAGCCCAGGCTGCCTAAACTCACAGGGATCCTCCTGCCTCCGCCTCCGGAGCGCTGGGATTATCGGTGGGCGCCACCACGCCCACTGTGAATTCCAGCATATGTGTCCACGATACTCATTCACTCGCTTGTTTTTGAACTCAGTGCTTGTGCGCTAATCACAGGCTCTACCACGGAACTACAGGCCCAGCCCCACTGCGTACTTTTAAAGTGTGTGTTCACTAATATAAAATTTCGAGGTATGGTGGTACAGTCCTGTAATCTCAGTACTTCTGGAGGATGAGGCAGGAGGACCCTGAATTCAAGCCCAGCCTGGGGCAATTTAGCAAAATTCTGTCTCAAGATAAAATAAAAAGGGCTAGAAATGTCGCTCTGTGGGAAGGCCTTGAGTTGAATCCCCAGCACAAAAATAAATAAATATCCCCCCAGGCTCTTAGCCCATAAATTCTCATGAACATAAGTTTTCTAGTGGATACTTTAGTAAGTTACTGTACATAGATCCACAGCAAACAAAGAATACTTACATTTAACCCAGTTCAATTTATTTGTTCAATATTTTCAAATGATTTAAAAATTATATTGAATCTCTTCATGCCATATTTTCTGTTTTTTTTTTTTTTTTTTTTAATAATCAAACTCAAGACCACGCACGTGCCAGGTAGGCGCTGTGCTGCTGGGCTATA